CTATTTGTAGAGTAAAAGAATCACATTTCGATTAGGCTGAGAAAAAACTTACACAACTTTACTATTATGGTTTGCTTTATGGATGACACTAATTTTTAGGCTACGACAATAACTTTTAACGCAGATGATATTTAAAGAAAATAAAAATAAAAAAATAAAAAGAATAAAAAAAGTTAAAGTCGGAGACCAGCGTTGACTGTTAACGCCGGAAACCGGCGGAATAGGAAGAAGAAAAAAGTCAACGGCGGCGACGAACGAAATTGTTCTCAAAATTGTGTTTTGGGTCAAAATTGAATGATTTGTGAAATTTTGGGTCAAATTGAGGTTAAATTAAACTAAAGGGTGAAATTGGAGCATATTAAAATATGAGGGGCTATTTTAGTCTTTTACAAACCTCTCAACAATGTGTTGACTTTTTTGTAAAATAGATTTTTATATGGACTCATTTATGAATAAGTACCCATTGATGGACTTATTTGTAAAGTGCCCAAATTAAAAATATCCATAAGGAAATTTTTACAATAAAATCAAGGGATAATTAGCAAGAACCCCCTCATGTAGGAATGAGTAAAGGAAACACCCCCTCCAAAAAATAATTAGAGAAAGCCCCCTTAGCTAATCTCTCACCCAAATGCTATTTTAATAATTCTCAAACCACCCTTAATAATATTAAATCTCATCTTCACGTTTCAAAACCCTAACCCATTTCATTTGCCGTTCTCTCTTCTCCTTTTCTCATCTTCTCATCTACTCTCTTCTCTCTTCTCTTCTCGATTGAAATTTGGAGGAAAAGCAAGATATCGACCGACGGTGGTGGTGGTGGAAGAGTGTTTGTCGCCGCCTCCCGCCGCCGCGTGAAGGGTGGTGACGGATCTGTAGTTGGCGGCCGTGGTTTACACCGACGACGTTGAAGCTCATGACTGACGCTCGTCGTCGAGGACGTAGTGGGTTGACGGCTACGAGGACGAGTCATGAGAAAATCATTGTTGAAATTGATGTTGATGAAGGTATTTGCTTTTTCTTTTTTGTTTGTTTTTATTTTTTATTTTTTTAGTGTTGGTTTTGTCATGTGTTCAGAAATTGTTTATTGAATGACCAACAATGGTTGACAAATGCCTTGAATCGTTTCTGTTTTTTTTTTTTTTTTGTAGACATTGAAATGCTAATTTGTGTTTTTTTGAATGAATTATAAATTTTATTTATTTTATTCTTGTTAGGGATTGGTTGAATAATGTGGTGTGACGGCGGTGTGGTGACGATGGGGAGGCAGATTTAGGGTTATTTTGTGGATCGGGCGGATGACGGCGCGTGTAGAGAAATTCGCGCAGACTGGAACCTTAATCGACTATGTACATGTTCAATAGCCGATTAAGCTAATCGACTATGCTCTGGTAGTCGATTAAGGATGATCGGCTCCAATTTTTTATTTTATTTTGGATTTTTTATTTATTGATTCTAATTGTATAAATCAATTATAATGTTTGTATATTTTTTGTTTTTGTAAAATATAATTGATTTTGCATTTTTTGCAGTTGTGATTTGTTAGTTTTAGTTGCAGATTCTTAATCGATTATTCTTCATCGTAGTCGATTAATATACCTGATATAGAAAAAAAATTAAAAAAAAAATTAAATTAAATAATTTCCTTAATCGACTATGCTTCATAGTCGATTTACCTTAATCGAATATGCTTCATAGTTGATTTAAAACTGATATAGAAAAAAGAAAAAAAAAACGAAAAAATAAACGAAAAAATAAACGAAAAAATAAAAAAAATAAAAAATAAAAAAAATCGCTAATGACCAGCGCGTGACGCAATGATGATGTGGCGGGCGGGGACAAAATTGGAAAAAATAATGGCTGGAAACGGGTGTGGGCTTTTCTCCAATGGAGAGAAATATTTTGGGCATCTCTCCATTAAAAGAAGTAATGAGAGGTTTTTTTCAAAGAGCAAATACAAAATCCAACATAAAAAAGATTAAAATACAAAATCAAATTAATTAAGGGCAAATGGTAAAAAAGGATATGACAAGGGACTTAAAATGACAAGGGACTTAATGCACATTGGTCCACAAAAAAAAAAACAGTCTCTCAAATAAACCCATCCCCATGTATTTAGTCTAAAATACCCTCCATAATATATTTTTTATCAATTCCATCCATTATACTCTAACTTCCTTAATATTACACATTGACCCCGGATTTAAACAAATATATCACATTAACCCCCATTTTAATATTTTTTTGAAAAAATATATTTTTTTCAGAAAATAATTTTTTTTCTAAAAAAATTTTTTCCGGCCAGATTCCGGCGTTGATTTTTTTTTTAAACGTTTTTTTTTTCTGAAACTTTTTTTCCGGCCGGTCAACCGCCGTTAACCGTCTGTCTCCGACGTTGATTTTTTTTTTATTTTTATTTATTTATTTTTTGAAAAAAAAAATTCTTAGAAAAAATTATTTTAGTTAATATTATTGTGTTGGCTGCTAAATTACTATCTTAGACAGTAATATTATTGTTTGGGATAGTAATATTATGAATATTATTTTCTCGAACAACAATATTACTAATATTACTGTGCCAAACAGTAAGATTATTGCATGAGACAGTAAGATTACGGTCGGGCCAAGACGATAAACTTAATTAATACAGTAATATTACTGTCTCAGACAGTTAAATTACTGTTGGAGACAGTAATTTAGCAGCCAAGACAAGAATATTAATAAAATATTTTTTTTAAGAAAAAAACAAAATTTAAAAAAAAAAAAGTCAATTAACAGTTAAATTACTGCTGGAGACACTAAGTTAGCAGCCAAGACAGTAATACTAATTAAAATATTTTTTTAAGAAAAAAAAAAGAAGAAGTCAATTAACAGTTAAATTACTGCCTCCGAGAGTTAAATAACTGCTGGAGACAGTAATTTAGCAGTCAAGACAGTAATATTCATTAAAATATTTTTATTAAGAAAAAAAAATCAATTAACTGTTAAATTACTGTCTCCGACAGTTAAATAACTGCTGGAGACAGTAACTTAGCAGTCAAGACAGTAATATTAAGTAAAATATTTTTTTAAGAAAAAAACAAAATTAAAAAAAAAAAAGTCAACGGCAGTTGACCTACCAGAAAAAAAATTCAGAAAAAAAAGTCAAAGCCATTCTCCGGCGATCAACGGCGGCTGACCGGTGGTGGCGGGTCAAAATTTGTTAATTGGTGAAATTGGGCTAAATTGGAGTGTAAATCATAAAATTGGAGTTGAATTGAGTTCCAAGGAATTGGGGGTAATTTTGGTTTATATAAAAGGGTTTTCCTTATTTGCAAATAAGTTTGAATGGAGTTCAAATATTTGAAAGACAAAAAAATTGAATTTCCCTTTTTTAATTAAGTGGGATTGTCGTGGGCATTTTTGTGATTTAACCCATTAATTAAAGCCAAGCCAAGCCCAGCCCAACCGTATTATACCCACTAAACTTAACTACCGTTTGTGTGAATATTTCGTCCTATATATTAACAAAAACCACTCGGGATTGTTAGAGGCATGGAAAAGGTAAAGCGTGATTCTTTGTCTATTGACAGAATATCAAATTTGCCAAAGGACATCTTGCATAGAATTTTGTTTCTCCTCTCTCAAGAAGATCTCTTGTCCAAATCATGGCGCTACATCTGGTGCACTCGTCCCAATCTTGATTTTTCCGACATCGAATTCAACGGTAACAAACAAGATTTTCCCTCAACCGTGGACAAAACTTTACAACAATACTACGATCAAGGTTTGTCCTTGGAGAAATTTCGCCTTTACTTATCGCTGCTAGGCAAAGATTATTCGTATCACGAATCGGTTTTGCTTCTTCACAAATGGATCCCATTACTCAAAGCTATGGGCGTGAAGGAGTTTTGTCTTTCTATTCTTTTCGATCATACTTCTGGAATTACCGATATGCCATCGGTGGTCTTTAAAGCCGAATCGCTCGAACTTTTGCATCTGAATAGGTGCAATTTGGGCCAGAATATTCCCGAGAATATACCCTTTGTGCGTCTACGAGTACTTCGCCTCAGCAACGTCTCGGTCGAGAACGAGGTTTTCGAAAAGATAATCTCAAGCTGTCCTTTGCTTACAACTATGTCGTTGGACGGGTGCAAGGGGTTGAAAACGATCAAGCTGGAAAAGAAGATTCACAAGCATCTCAAGCACTTCACTTTTATTAATTTAATGAATCGCACAGCAGAAAAATGCAACATAGAAATCGACATCCCGACTCTTGAAACGATCGAGATTATGGGCAGTAAGATTAGGTGTAGCATGCGTAATTTGAGTATTCTAAAGACTTTGTCTCTAGGCAGTGTCGAACAATCTCCGCTATGTATTGATGCCCAAAACATACAAAGTTGCATGTTGTTGACTTAGCAGCACAAGTCTTCATGGTCTTAATAATGTGTTCTACTGTTAATTTAGACTTGATTTTCGAATGAGTTTCAATTCTAAATGGACTGTTCGTGAATTGAACAAAATTAAATGTGCAAATTAAATGTCAAACCCACAAGGGCGTTATGTGCCTAATTTCATACCATAATGGGGTCATGTGCAAAATGTCAAAACCATAAGGGGGTTATGTGTCTAATTTCATACCATAAGAGGGTCATGTACAAAATATTCAAACCACAAGGGGGTCAAGTGGTATTTACCCTAAAATAAAATCATTAGTTCAATTAGTTTGATTTACGAATTTTCACATTCGAAATAATTCTCTCGTCTGACAAAGAGAATCAGAGAAAAAAGAAAACTTCGTGTATGAAAAAATAACACAATACATCAAGGTTAAAGTTGTCACTATCATGGTTATTAAAATCTTACGATTTACGATTCAAATCTTACCATTCGATTTATACCTACATCGATTCAAATCTTAAAACAAATCATAAATGTCAAAAATCATTCAAATCTTATGATTTACAATTCAATTTTTTCGAATTAAGAAAATTTTAATTTATTTATTATCTATAATAAATTTCAATAAAAAAAGACATTTACTTTAACTGAAAATAGTTAATGTGATTATTTCGCTATTGTCAACACTTTATCCTATGAAATACTATTAAATTAAGTATACATAAAACGAAAATCACTACATTTTTGCTTCTATTTCTCATCTACTGTTGCACTATAAAGTAGGAAAATCAATTGGAGTGAGTTTAATTCTATTTTTTTCTAAATAAATATTGTTTTATTTTAATTAGTTCTCAAGATACATTTATATTTTTACTCGAACTTCTCACACGTCACGGACTTTTAATAGTATCTTAATGTTGTTGTAGACGTTGTATAGCGTGTTGTTGAGTTCGTTGAGGATGTAGTTTCAAAAAAGGAAGTCATTGTGGTGTCAAGCGTCGTAAGCATTCCTTCTTTGAGCATCGGTGCCATCTTCAACCACCATTGGAGCAATTTGCCTCAAGAACCCTTAAAGATTCATGGCTGTCAAGTAGAACATCGTATTTTGTTGCCATCTTTTGAATTCGACACCGGTGAATTTTTTCGGACTCTCACCATGAGTAGGGGCAGAAGAGTGGATCAAAAGATCCATGGGAATTTCAGCGCAAAGGTCAGGAGGGAGCGCAACAGCGGCATCAAGGACTTCAGCGTTTTTGTTTTCCATTTTGAAAGATACAGAATATTGTCTTACGATTGTTATTTGTGAGGTATATTTCAAAATACAATTTATAACAGAGCTTTAGTACGAAGAAAAGAAGTCGAGGCAAGAATTAGAATCTTTCTCTGTAAAACAATATTGGCCCGTATTAGTGCTAACGGTTCCAGCCAATTGTCTTCGAGTTTGCAGCACAACAAAGCTCGAAGTACAGGCGAAAAAAACGAGAGCCTTGGACTTTCTAGACACAAAATGAAGATATGAACAATATGCTTGTGAATGTAGTGAATTCGAATGAGTGCGTTTTGCATTATGCAGGGGCTCCATTTATCGGACTGAAAAAGTTATGTGTAAAAGACATAACTTAAGGAAAAAGAAAGGGTTGAAAAGATGTGGCATATTTTCACATGGTCCAACACAACTTTGAGAAAAAGAAAGGGTTGAAAAGATGTGGCATATTTTCACATGGCCAAGCACGGACACATCACACTCCGATTAGCTAGAAGCAATGTTGTTAGAACCGGGTCGAACCGGTTCAACCGGGTTTTTGATATTTATTAATATGTCATTCTTTTATTAATTTTAATATTTTAAAAATATTATTTTTTCATATTTTTAATCTCTATTATTTTCACTAGGTCACGGTCGAACCGGTCCGACCGGCCGATTCGATAATATTATTTTTTTTCATATTTTTAATCTATATTATTTTCACCGAAAGAAAGATGGTCATTTGACCCCAGTTTTAGAGGTATGACCGGACCGCTTCATCACCGGGTCACGGTCAAACCGATCCGACCAGCCGATTTGATTCTAACAAACCAAACATTCCCAATGGCCCACGGGTCATTTGCTCAAGCAAAGAGCGAGCAATGACTTTTAACTTAAGTTCACACTTGTTTGTCAATTATATTATTAACTAATCACCTTCCACTATTTAAAATATCCTCATTAAAATTCGTTTTCCAATGTGGGATGATGCCTTTCATCTTCTCACTTCCATAAATGATCTTGTTTAAGTGTTCATTTAAATTTTTTTCAAAATAAAATAAAATTATCTATTTAAATACATTAATTTCTCATTCATCAAAAATCGGTTTTGAGAAAAATAGATCGTGAATATAAATTATATTTCTATATTAGATAAATAGAACCCACTTAAATATTTTATTAAAGTTGGGTGCAAACACAATTTTTTCAACCGTCTTTATTAATATTTTTCGTGGCAAAAAAGGCACTCATTATGACAAATTTTCTCCTCACCCAAAGTGCCCTTTTTTGTTTTTTGTTTATTGTAGTGTTGTGTTGGTCTTGTCTCTTTTAGACATCGTCATCTGTGTTCGATTGAAAATGAGGGACGTGTGACACTGCGTGTCAAGTTAGAATTACAGGCAAATTATTCTTACAACATATACTGTCATTTTCTTTACATTGTTTATGTCTATTTATTAGCAACGCAATTAGTTCGTTTCTTTTATTGTACAAATGGATGATTCTTTTCTTTTGTGGTTCTGTTTTTGTCGTCAAATTTCACGAGGCATTTTGCGAGCAAATCAGAATGGTTCTACTGTGTTAGTAATCTCCTGCCGAACTTTTTTCTTTTTTGATAATTAATCTCCTGCCGACTTTGTTACAATGAAAAGATATTAAGTCAATTGAATTTCTATCTCTTTCAGCCTGATTTATTTGTTACAAGAAACAATAATATTTAGTAAAGTGATAAACTACGATTTGAAAGTCAGGATTTAAAAAAAAAAAAAAAAAAAGAGAGAGAGAGAGAGAGATAGAGAGAGAGAAAACAATTAAAATAAAAAAGAGAAACAATTTTAAAGGCTCAAACAACACTACATTGTCATCTGATGATCAGTGAGAGCAACGGACCCAACCGTTTGCGAGTGCAAATATCATCATTGCCGATGCACCAGCCGGGAATTGAACCCAGGTCTGTACTGTGGCAGAGTACTATTCTACCACTAGACCACTGGTGCTGGATGAAAATTTCTTACAATTACAATATATAATACGATAATACAAATTCAGATGAGTCGTTTAACATATTTTAGAAACAATCGGTCTCATATCCATTACAGCTCACTGCCTTTTCACGCGAGGACCATTTCAAAAATAAATATTTTGGATCAATAAAACATACAACAATAAAAAAGTATTATAATACACCTATAATTCAATACATGGTATATAAAACAAATACGTCCGACCAATTTTACTCAACTATCGACTAAATCGATATAAAATAATATGTTCCAGTTATATAAACAAAAACATAACAAAAGGAAGAACTTTTTAAATTATTTTGTTTATCGTATAACATATGAAATGCAATTACTATTAATAACACTTTGCACCCTCGAAACACAGTATAGCATGCATAATGCACCCCACATGAGTTTTTAAAGCAAATAAAGTTAGTTTAATATTTTCAGTAGTATTTAAAAATTATATTTTTTATCATAAAAATATTTTACGAAATGAAATCCTTCAGCTATTTCGTTATCAAGTTATCTGAAATTATATTTTCTTCCAAATATTTCAACCAATTACAAAAGATCTAACAATCAAATAATTTAGTGATAAAAGTTTATTTGATTTTATTTTGTAAGAAAATATAATTGATTTTCAATTATCTGGTGTGATTTTTATTTTTTCGCACTTTGTCCGCTCGAATTTAGGTTCGAGATTGAAGGACACAACAATTTAATTTGATATTTTTCACCCCGGAAAAAAAACCAATAAAAAATGAATTATCATTTATTACTCAATTAAGGGTGCATTGTGAATGATTTATTGTGTTTTTAAGGGTGCAAAGTGCTATTAATTCGAAAATAAAGTATTTTTCGAATTAATTTGGAATTTGGTGGACTTAATAAATATATATGCATAATATAGTAATTTTTTTTCAACTGAGAGTGAAGTTGCCCTGGTTCCAACCAGTGGCGAGGCCATAATTTTTTTTTTTGGGGGGGGGGGCCTTAAACACATGGGAGGTTCGGAGGCAGAGCTCCCGAAAAAAAACTTGCTATCAAAGAAATTTAAGATGAAAATTCGATATGAATTTTTGTTTCCTCCATTTTCAGAAGATAATACCAAAGCGAATCGCAAATTATATATAAAGGGGTTTTCCATATTTGCAAATAAGTTTGAATTATATATAAAAGGGTTTTCACTATCAAGTATTTGCAAGTTAGTTTGAATTTCTTTTTTTTTTAATTAAGTGGCCTTGTCAAGGCTTATTTACCGATTGACTCTTATAAAAGATGGGAAAAGAAGATTACAAAAATGAAGTGCTGAAATTGTCATCTAAAGATCAATGAGAGCAACGGACCTAACAGTTGCAAGAACACATTTGCCATCAGCCAATGCACAAGCAAGGAATCGAACCTAGGACTGTACCGTGGCATAATACTATTCTACCGAGCTAATTGCAAAGACCCCCCTGTGTTATTTCTAATTGTTGAAAAAGACCCTGTGTTAAAAAAATTAACAAAAACCCCCCTATGTTTTATTTTAAAAAACACAGAGCCCCTTATTTTAAAATTAGTTGTTGACTTACGTGAAATGACTCTAATATCCCTAGTTAGTTTATAATAATATTTTAATAAAACAAAATAAAAGAAAATATAAAATTCATATAAAAAAAAAAAGAAAAAAAGAAAAAAAAAATGGACTATCTTCTTCCCATCACCCAACCCCTCAACCCAACCCACCCAACTTTTCAATTCATACCACATCCGCTGCGGCGCCA